AGTAGATCATAACAATATTTATGATAATTTTCCAGGCAAATTTGCCTGGAAAAGCCTACAGTTTAAGGGATAGTTTATTAAAATTAGCAAGAAATTTTTTTTTGTTAGAATCCGAAAGGTAGTTTCCTATGTGAAATTTAAAGTTAGAAGCAATTTTTGGCAAAACGAACGTTTGTTTTGACTCTTCCCAAATGTGTAACGTTACACCTGATCTTGGGATTTGATTGGTTGATTGGGATGTGGTTACAGTAACCACGTTACGTCTACAAATCAGATTTCATGAATGTAATACGATCGGGAAATTTCAAAACAAATGTTCATCTTGTTAAAATCGCTTATTCTCAAAATCTGCATAAAAGGCCACCTTTAGTATCTGACAAAAAAATTTTCTTGAACGATTTTACTATATAATTGCCTAATCTTTAACCTTATTCTAAACACTAGCCCTAATATTAATGTGATTTAAAATTTTGCTTGCACCACAAACTTGGCACAGAATTTTTTCATACATTATAAACATACATACAGTAAAAAGCCAGTCTAAGTGATACCCTTCTGCGTATTCTGATGCATTGATTGCTATGGTACGACGTTGTCGCGAGGCTCTAGAAACCATTTCTCCGCTAATTAAAAGATTGAAAAGATTTACAATGTATAAATAAGAATTAAAAGCGGATTCAATATATTAAAACAATAATGTCATCAAAACAAGAAAACATGTGAGACTTAAAAATCACATTCAGAGTTCTCGCGTTGTGGTATATTCTTATTGATCATTTCATACCTAGTAATGAGATGTACAAATATACTTAAATTTTCAGTTATTTCAGCGTACTAATTACATGTAACAACTCTTATAATTACGTATAACGAAGCAGTTAAATTATATAACAAACGCCTGGATGTTCAAAATCTTCTTGAATAACATAATCAGCCGTTGCGATTTCAGTAGTTGGGAAGACAAGGAAGGGGTTTTCATCTTCAGTCTCGTTAGAAGTGGACAAAATCTCCCGAATCGTAATTAAAGCACCATAAGTACCATATCGCAATACGGTTTTAGCCACTGTTTTTAACCCTATTGTATCTAATTGAAAGACATTACAGAAAGTTTATAAATTGAAAAAATTGCATAAAATGCTAACATAGTATGACTGAGTGAAATCGGGTTGCTAGTTGCCATAATTATGATAACATGGATTTCATCCTAATAAATCTATACAGCAATTTTCCTAGTTCGCAACACAGGTTCCACCTTGTTCAACTGGTGGCTCTAACACTTCCTAATCTAACGGAAGGTTAGAATGAAGGATTTCTTTTAAACCTAAGAACTCTTGTTCTGTAATAATTTCGGTTAATTTCGGATCACATGCGTCAACAATACGCCACAAAAGGGGACTAGTTTAGAAAGATTTTAGAATTAGATATTTTGTCATGATTAAAAAAAAAAAATTTTTACGCGCTTACTTTTCTGCTACTTGGGACAATAATTCTAAATTGCTCGTGTCGGTTGTGGTAACAAGGCCTTCACAATGTTTATGAATTCGTTTAAGCCATTCAGGAATTTGGCATTCAAATTCCCATTGATCTCAAGCCACTAATAATTCAATCTCATTATAATCTGCCATTAATTATGTAACATAATTGATTATAAAATAAATATAACTTACGCATTGTTCATTATCGGTGTCTTCAGCATGAGTGCTACCACTGGTAATTGTATTTTCGCTCTCAATAGGATATTCCCATTTCAACTTTCTTGCTTTTTTAAAAATCAGATCTTGGTTCCTTTTAATATCATTAAAAATCAATTAATTAGAAATCAAGTAAATAGTAATCTTCTTCAGCCAGAACACTACTCCGTGCCTAGAACTAATCTACATGGTCATGAGTAAACAAACGACCTAACGGTTTTTGTCCCTCATGCCACGTTATAGTTCAGCCAAGCAGGCTACCTATAATTATAATGGGCCCAGTGCCAGTCAGCAAGCAGCTGTT